AAAATCCAACACCATAGCTTCAGCGATGGCCACTACACAACAGTCGATATCTCATCCGACTGAACCGGCAGCCCATATGCCGGTAACATGGATTAGCGAGGATACCAGTGAAACCATCCGAACCGAGAACGCTGAAAAACAGGAACCTATGCAAAATTCAAGCGAGACAGCTGCCCAAAAATCGCAATCTTCGATTGCGACAGACAAGCAGCCTGCAGATCAATCGTTGCCCAGTGGACAAAATCCCTCTAATATTCCTACTGAAACACAAGACCATAATTCGCAAATGACCAACAGATTCACACACAGCCGATTTAATGAGGAGGAAAACGCGCAAACTGAAGAAAGTTTAGACAGTTCAAGTGGAGACATGCAGCATAAATCTGAGTCTCCGGATACGAAAGAGGCGAACACCATAGCTTCAACGATAGCCAACGCACAACAACCGATCTCTAATCCGACTGAACCAGCAGCCCATATGCCGGCAACAAGGAGTGGCGAGGATACCAGAGAAACCAACCAAACCGGGAACGCTGAAACACGGGAACCTTTGGAAAGTTCAAGCTCGACAGCCGCCCAAAAATCACAATCTTTGATTTTGACAGACACGCAAACTGCAGATCCCGCGTTGCGCAGTGCAAAAAATCCCTCCGGCATTCCAACCGAAACACCAAACCGTAGTTCACCGATAAAAATTAGCATCTCATACAGGCCAAATAATGAAGCTGAAGTCCTGCAAACTGAAGAAATTTTGGACAGTTCAACCGGTAACATACATCATGCCTCCATCCTGCTCTCCATCGCTAATATATACCTCGTCAGTTCTTTGATCGCATGTCTTAATTGATTGACCACATTTCCATAGACCACGTGTAACTGGCAATGCGTTGATTCTTTCTTCACCATTTTCCCTTCATTCTTAATCGCTTGGATTGCATTGATGATATCATAATATCATCTTTGAAATGAAATTTGTATTTACTTAGTTTAAACTGAACTATGGCCGTGGGACTTCATTTTAAATGGAGGAAGGATTCGTTGAGCACATGAATCATACAAAAATAGATGCCATGCGGCACAATCATGTGCGGTGATTTCATTGATCCATTTAGATTCCAAAAAACCCTATATGGTGTGGCCCCATCTTGGGAGAGAATCTGTAGGAAATGCGAAGACGGCGATTCGAAGGTCTAATTATGTCGTATTAGGCATCTTCAAGTCACCCCTGTGAAACTTTCAAAAATATAATGGAAGTGGGGAAGACAGCTGGCGAGAACCAGTTCATATAAAAATCCGCTTAGTTTGTGCATGTGGACAAGTTAGTTTTCGGGTGCATCTTTTGTTCGCGCATCTATTACGTGCATCTATCTGCCAATAATTAGCTTTGATGTACCTCAAAAGGAAAAGAACTAAATAAAAGCTTAGCAAAAGTAGAGACAAACTCCGTATGACAGTTCGTCGGTCGCTTGTCATTTGAAGTCTGTCGGTATCTACGTAGCGGTGATTTCTTCCGTTCCACAGCAAATTGAATCCAAATTTGTGAAGGTTCATTTGAAAAACGAAATGTGTCATGTGCCATATATAAACAGTAAACAGTTATATTCTAACTTTTCGAAACCCCAGTTTGCAATTTTTCGGAGGAATAGCTATGCAGTTACTAGAACATATTTGGGGATACCAGAAAACGCCAGATATTTGTTAGATTCAGATGGCATAAATGTAGAAGCTGCACTATCAGGTGACTCACGTCACCTTATGTTTGAAAGAAGACGTTCTATAACTGATTGTAAGAAATTTAGGAGAGGTGAAAACTTCCATTTCACAAACCCCAGATCTATTCGAAAGCGCAACGGCCCGGAGAGAAGCTAAACATTAAAACCAAACGCCACGAGTGACTTAAGGACAGTGCAACGTTTCCTACTGATGCAGAGTTATTACCGATTCGTTGGAACTCGAACCACTTCTGCGTTGCTCATTAACTGGTAAATATGCAGTGCTTCATAGAATCAGTGTTTGAAGGTTTAATTAATCGAGTGGGCTTTATCCGCAGTATATGTCCCGCATTCCTACAAAACCGGTTCATTCATCTTTCATCCTGATCGTGAGAAAAAACTGCAAAATGGACTCTATGGCCTGCTGTTAAATTTTGCTACTGCTCTTCACTTCAAGTCGTTCGGTAGCATACTCCATCGTTGTAGAGTTATGTGTGGATCATTTTCAAATCATTCGTGATAGGCGTCTAACCAGATTTGACACAGCATTTTTCCAACTGACCCACATGAAATCCAACAAACTCTAACATTCTCCATGACCTTTGCGTCTAGCGCTCTGGCATTTGCAGACATTAAATTCTCCTGCCCAAAAACGTTAGCGAATAAGGAGGCCTTTGTTTGCTCACCTAACACGAACCTGCTGACGCCCTAAATGTGCTATGTGCCAGTGTCATAGGTGTGCCAATGAAAGGGTACGTATGCTCAATATAAATTAGACAAGATACCTGCTCAAGTTGTCTCAACGATTTAGGGGTTCAGTGGCTATAAATGCAGTGGACGAATGCAAGTAATCCTGGATTTCAAAAGTGCAATTTTCTGTGATAAAACAGGTCTCTCCGGTATAAAATCAGGGGTTGTGTAACCTCTGGTTCGTGTTTTCTGTATGTGGATAGCCAGCTACGTTTCACCTTAGCTTCTGTTAAATAAAATAAGGCGTTCAGGCGGTCAGTTAACTTTTATGCAGCCCTATACGAAAGGCAAATGAATCGGATTTAAGAAACAAGTTCAGCTAGAGAGAGCAGTAATCACTCATTAAAAGCAATTTTGACGCATTAATTTGTTTATTTGACATCATCTACTGTCATACACTTACACGCCCGCTTGTTCAATCACCACGTCTCAGTTGGTGTACTAAGTAACTCACAGTTCAATACATAATCCACCAGAATCAGAGGACGACTTTGGGGAGGCACAGTTTTCTTGAAAAGAAATATTCTGTATCGCAGATGAGGTCCCAAAAGGACAGGATTTTTCAATAAATATATATGTATGTAGTTACAGACCGTGGACGAACTTATGAACAGCCAGTTCACGAAGACCGTGGAATCTTAGACCCTCTTCCCATGCAAGGACTTACTCAACGAAACTTCCTGTCGTTCTTTGTCCCCACAGCTAAGCCTGTAGACATCTCAGGTTGTATTCTAACGGATCCAGTTTAGAATGCCATCTAAATAAAATGTTGAGGGTCAGGATACTAGATCTAAATTGACATTCAGCACTATCAATTATGGTTTTATTATTATTCCCCTGAGTTGAAGCACCCCCAGGTTGTAAAGCAACCAGCATCCAAATGGTAAGGTATATTGGCTTGAGGAATTGCACACTGGAGCATGATGAATAACTTGGTGATTCGATATGGAAACTGTACCAGCCAAACTTGCCAAAGTTCACCTCAGCAGCAGTGATAAGCTACTATGGACATTTTAGCGGTTACAGTGGGGCGGTTCTCAAATTTGAACGAACCAAATGCGCAAAGCATTTGGTTCCCTATCGATAAAAACAAACTATGAAAGTTTTGGTGTATACCGGATTTCCAAGATACTACCATGTGCCTCCGAAATCATCCAATGCGATTTCGCTAGTGTCAGGTACTCTGAATGCCCGATGGATGGTTGAATGAGCCGCCGTCTGATCCTGGTTGTCAGATTGTGTGACAGCAGACTGCACAAACAATCACATGAAAGGCACATGAGAAACAAATGCTTTTAAACTATGCATCTTTGTAATTCATGCATGTATTCGAATGGTCGATATTCTGCCTTTTTGACTGCTTAAATTACGGTTTTGTAGCAAAAAATATACCATATTATCACGTCTGAGAGATGGGTACGATGTTTAGCACTGGAACCAAGCGTTGAGATTTTGGTCGCTCGGAAAGCCAGGTTTCAGTGGAATACCTGGACGAGGAAGAACCTAAAAGCGTTTTCCTATGACTGCGTAAATGTTTGACGAAACATGTAGAAAATTCTACAGTATCAGAATTCAACGACACTAGCGAACTATCTCATTGAAGTAAGCCACATCAAGAAAATGTTTAAGAATTCCTTTAGAGTGTCGCTCAGGTGAATACCGTTTCTGTGGCCATAAATTTGCCTGCAATAATAAAGTCACAAAACTAAGCAGGAAAACATTCACAATTTTGGCGGCTTCTTTTAGCACAAATCAGGTGCAGGTAAATGACTAACAGCATAGAGCCAGCTCTTCGGAGAAAGATTTCATTACCTACAGGGCGAAATGCAACTATGACAAAATGGAGATGGTACAGAAGCATTCCCCAAAGCTACTCACGCACACCACAGTTCCTCGAGTATTTCAGCAAACTCAGTGCAAATAATCTCCATGTATCCTTATTGGCGACTTCTTTGTGCGCAGTTCTATGTTGACACTGTTCCTGATTCCAAACTCGCTTCAACAGCATGTCTTGCTGGGAAGGCAGAACTCAAAATTGCACTGCAAAATCAGATGGACCGAAGTGATTTCTATCACCGCAGTTTTTATGATGCAGTGGCAAGATAGGTCGTTTGTTTGCCCTCACTGTTTAATTTGTTGTTTCAAACACCCTTACATTCACTGATTACTGCGATGAACGCACCAAGCGATCCCGTGCGTTCCTCGGTGACAACTTTGAAGCTGAACAGCCACAGTCCGTCAACCTTAGTGAGAAATTTCAGCTCACCCATGGTGTCCAGGGCGAGTAGACTCAGTGTCACGACGCGAAGCTAACTCCCATCAGATTTTCATCTTAAACGTATATTTGTATGTTGCCTACAACATGGCGCCTGAAATGAAGCCCTTCAATCGTTCTTACATGAAAGACATAAGTGGCAATCTATTATTCCAACAAAAATCCACCATAGTCATCTAGGGTTTTTCTTCTCCAACAAAACAGAAATTGCACAGGAACTGACTAATCTGCCCTTGAAAAGAGAAGGTTGGAAGCCATTTGACCCAGGTGTAATAGGACGCTTGAGAAATGATATACAATCCAGAAATACCGAGGCAGAAGGAAGCTAAATATTCCCCACTCATCGATTCTGCCAAAGTCCGAAAGGCCGGTGGAGAATTGGAACAACAAACGAGAACCATCATCATAATAGTTGCTGCTGCCAAAGAAAATTGAGTGCGCCGGCGATTTAGTGCCGTATAATCAGGTAAAATTATTGAAATAATCCTTAGAACATGAAGAAAAATGGGGTAGGGAGGGGACCTAGAGTTAGCCTACCACATTCCGCATATAAACCGATAAATGAAATCCGCTGAAATCCGTTAGTTGTGACATCAATCAAGGCCTCCAGCCGAATATTGGGATGATTTCAAGGAATCCATTCTGCAAGGTGAACGGCACGAACAACACCCAAACTTTTGTTAGCATACTTTGTCCCATTCTGCATATCAAATTCTGCCCTTCTCTAGTCTTCGCCGCACCTAATTAGGCACGAAAAAGAACTCTTACAACAGGCGGTAATCCAGCATGCGTGCCCGCTGGCCCAGCTATCGTGACCAGCATCATTTCGCCATTCTTGCATACTATATGTTTAACAATCAGCCTTTCCTGTGAATGAGTCCCTGTTGATTCTGCTAGCCTTTTTCAGCGGTGGGTTATTTTGCTTTTGGATTTCCAGTTAATATCCCTTATCGACGAACTGATGAATTTGTAAATGCACGAGTTATTCGGGTATGTACTAACCGTAATCCAGTAGGATGAAATACCAGGATCCTTATAATTTCATCATAACAAGAGGGGCACGCAGATTTTCAGACGTTGTTCTTGCGATTCCTGCATCCATTCCGCCAT